TGGGTTAAGAAACTTTTTTAACATAATTTTCCTTAAATATGTTGTTAAGAAATACTTTATTGAAGTTTTGCATAGTTATATGTCTTATATACTCACCGATGTAGCGTAAAATATATCGGTATAATGTGTGCGGGCTTCAAGAACGGATATTAACCTATAACTGAGGTTTAACGGTACATTCCGGCGACATATTGTTATATTTATAATAATTAAAGTCATTTTGATTCAATTATAATTAATTAACGGTTCAGATTTTAAGAGCCAGTGAATTGTCAAGATGTAATATATATTAATTCGTGAGAGTTTTATGATGTCTTTCACAAAGTTGTGTTCTAACAATTTGCCAATAAGCACGCGCTTTTGCTAAAAAAACAGTCAAGGAAACTAAAGAAGGTAAACGCACATTGTGCCCAAAAAAAATGATTTCTGCTTTTATCCAAATTTTGTCGCTAATTTTATATAAAACGCCTGGGTTTGAGATTGCAATCTTGACTGGTTTACAAATCACGTGAAGTACACAAGAGACTCCATAGCTTTCCAAGCTGCAAGACGGACGTTGTTAGTTACGGTTTCTTTATGTAGTTGAGTTATCTCCTTCACAAATGTATTGTTTGGGACTTCCCTAAGAGACTGAAATATCTAAAGGAACCACAAATAAACTTGAAAGTTGTTTTATTGATGGCGCCTGTGACTGGATTTCTTTTATCATGAGACAAGGCAGGTAATCTACGATGGCACAAGAATTGGGCGGGGTAGGTGGAAGTTCAACCTCTTTCTTGGGCTCTCTCTTCTTTCGATACACCCATTCACATCTCCAGGGTCTTCCGTAACTTTCAGTCACGTGGTTAGCGAAGCTACTTACAACAACATTATAGTTAGTCTTTATAGAAAGCTCCTTGGGTATGACGAAACGCCCAACATCGTCAGTTCCATTTGGACCCCCCCTGTGCAGAATAGGGCAGAAGTAACGAGAATTTTACCCTCAAGTGAAGGCACGAGCAAAATTATACATTAGTTGCCGAGGGAAAACATATTTCCATCCCTCTCTCGGCACCTAATCAAAACTGCTCTTTCAAATGTCGCCGGAAAGGTTCAGAGAAATTTAGTAAATCGGCTCATACTCTAATCACCCTGAAACGATTATAAAATGTGTTGTAACTAATCTTAGCAAACACAAACACAGCATCAGGAGCGGGCATCTCGTTTATTGATGCCCGAATTGACTTTCAAGTAGTTTTTTTTTTTTAATTTTTCCCATCTTCTGCCGTCCGACCAGGGTTCATGTGATAGGGGTAGGCCAATTTATAAAACAATAACAGTGAAGACCGCCTTACGAAAAGGCATTAGCCATACATTTCTTTATTTAACAGTCTTGGTTCCCATCTAAAATAACAGTTTAAGATATGGGGAGGGCTATAATACATGATAATGTACGTAAGTATGTAAAACAACTGCTGTGGTCTTACACCACAAGCCAACGGTCACAATGGGTCGTAAAACTTAACATGAACTCTGCGGATTCTCCTGATATCGAGAATTGCGGGAACTTGAACGAATCGCAATATGCTGACCACTCGCTGAAAATCTCACCACAAATCACCACTTTAACTACAATTTATATAACAAGCTCTCTGCGTTATTTTTTTTCTCTCGCACAAAGCCAAAACCAACAGTCACGCTAACCTTGCAGACAAGAGCTTGGCTCTACACAACACTAACAGGAAAATTTACAATAGCCAGACCTTTCAAATTAATACATTACTACAGAAGTGCATCTTAACTACAATATTCTCTTAAGTCGGAGGGAGACAGGACACTAGAGCCCAGGTCAATGGTGGTAGAACCCAGCCGTCTGTGATGGAGCGGCTTGGTACGGCGATTGAAAACGGACATGCGCTGGAGCAGAAGGACTAGTTACCAAGTATTGAGGCGAACTGTTTGGTATCCGCGGCGGTGGCTGTGACGGAGAGGGAAGCTGGGGCGCGGCCGTTGCTATGTAGTGAGTTGGATGTGAATGACTTATTCTGTAACTCTGAAAGAAAAAAAAAATTAATTCATTATATAGTGTCTCTAGTGGAAAAGAAAGTTACCAGCTTTTTGGAGGTATAGTCTAGAATAGAGCGGTTTTCATTTGAGTGTTGAAAAGCAATAGATCATTTTCACGTTACGTCATCACTTTCTAAAATCCAAAACTAAAGAGCCACCAAAGTTTTCATCCTCATCAGGCATAAGAGGGGGTATATTTATATCTGTTTAAAATTTTACAGTTCAATAGCGTGCTTCGTTTGCAAACAGAGCATTTTGAATTTCAGGGTTATGGAGGTGTAAATTTCTGCAAAACATTTCGACTTATATCTGAAGCACAGGCCTAAAACTTAGAGAAGTGTCTTATTTAGTTATCTTCTATAACATCACAATTTCGTAGCGTTTTCAACTGGATGGTTTTCAATTTATTTTTTTATTGCGTGACAGTGAAAACGATGTATTGGTTTTGCATCACTACGCTGGACGAATGGCTTTAAAACTCGCGCCACTTTGTCATCCAATCAGAATTAAAACCAACACCAATCGTGACTCGTTCGCACACGTTTTCCCGCGCTTTGAGTCAGCTGCATGTAATTACTTCAAGTTTTGATTGGTTCACTGGATTGTCTGTGTCTTTTGTGATTGGCTGAAGTGATTGCATTGATTCTGGTTTCACTACACTCGATAGAAAACCGCTCCAATGCCAAGTCAATCTGCAAAAATATAAATAAATGAGCGAATAGACAAAGGCAGAAACCTACCGCTTGAGGAAACTGTGAGAGAAGCGAGGGACGATGTGGAATATGTGTGGAGTGTGTGTGCGAGGAAGCAACTGCCATCGGAGTGTTTATGTAGATGTTGGAGTTCGAATTACTATCCTCGTCCTCAATTTCCATAGCATCACCTGCACAAGTACAAAGTGAAGCACATTAATGGTGAAGTCTGCATACGAGCCAAGTGGCCCATCAGGCCGGAGGTGATCCCGGCTTCTGTAGCATGAAATGACCGGGAGTATTTCTACTCCTCTCAGGATACGATGTTAGTCAATCGCAAGGTTATCCCCAGCCTTAAGTTCCCCAGTACCCATTTATACACCTGGGAGGAGAGATCGAGGCACTGGGTGAGTAAAGTGTCTTGCTCGAGATCACAAGACAATGTCCCGGACTGCTCGATCCGGAGACAAGCGCACTAACTATGAGGCCACCGCGCCTCCCATGAAGCTCATTAATAGTCAACACAAATATTTCTACCAGCGTTCAACATGCTTTCGTTGACTAAGAGTCCCAGAAATTTCGTTGATGAATTCGGAAAGCGAGTGGAACTATTCCTTCATTCCGTCAAAGGTTATCAGACTCCACAAGTTACACAAACCCAAGGCAGAGTTTAAACGTACCAGTTATTTCCGCAGGCGTATTGGAAGACTCGTTGCTGCTGGTACTGTTGCTTGGAGATCTGCCAACCACTGTTGAGGGCTTCGAATCTAAGGTTAGAGGGGCAGAAGGCGTTAAATACGAAACTTAAATAGAAACAAAAGCCACTCCATTTTTCGGGACCAGTGCGAAAGTATAGTTATATTATATATGCATACTCAAAAAGAAATGCCAAGTTACTTAAGCCTTAGTTTACGAATATAGCAGTCAATGATTCCATATGCACACTGGAAAATGAAAATTAATGTTCGGCAAGTCAACACGGAAAAAACTACACTTCAAACCTGCCCTTTAATTTTTAACCAAGTACTGGTTTCAAAAACATGACTATTAACAAGAGAAATACCTTTTTGCAGGTGCACGGCAAAGAATGATGACAGCTTTTCATTGGCCTTGGCCAGACTTTCCTCTTTTTTTGTCAGCTCTTCATGTTTCTTTTGAATTTCTGCAAGCAAACAAGTGTCTTGTCACGCTCCGAGCATTAATTAAGAAGGAAATCACCAGACATCAGACAAAATTTCAAGAGATATTCAAAACCCTCACCTCTCTTGAGGCGTGAATCCCCGTCACCGTACATGAAGCCTTTTCCTTCTCTTGAAGAGGAACTACCTCTGTCATACGCACTGCTAGGAGCTTTTGTCAGCCGACGCAAGAGAACTAAAAAAATACAATGCCAGTGAATACGTTCATCTTATTGTGTTTCTGAACTCAAAGTGCAGGGTTAATATTACCTACATGTGGTACTAAGGCCTGCTGTTTTATAAAAAGGTCACATAACATGTCCCTCTAAACAAAAAGACCATTTTCGCATTTTTAGTACTGGACTGGCACTAGCTTACAATGGATGCCCATGTGGAGGAATGTCATGGAAAAGAAACCTCATTTGCATTTGAAAAGACTCCTCGCATTGGCCTCAGTTGCAAGCTAGTATCAGTCCAATACCAAAACCTTATGCACACGCGCACACAGTCAGGGAATTCATTAAGGGCCAGGAACCAGGCAAATTAACTGGCCGTGAGAATGGTTTTGACCGCCTGGTTTGACCATGTATTGGAAAGTTTTTCTGATTGAGAAGTTCAGTTCCAAAAGTTTTGCCTGCCTGTGAAAACCACTTGCTCTCCTGCTGAAAACGTTGATGAAACCCCTGACACTGCATGTCGACAACACAGAGTGATAGCATTTTATTTATGTCAGCAGTTCAATCTGTTTACCAGATGATTTGTCCTCTGAATCCGGACTGACAGGTTCCAAATGAGGTCCATTTATGTCCCCACCGCTGACAACTGGTCGATGAACAAGCGATGGCGTCGTAGAGGATGCACTGAGATTCGGAAGTGATGCGCTTAGAGATGACGATTTTATAACCGACGACGAGAAGCTTGATGCAGATGAAGAGTTCGACGGAGGCGTCACAACAGCTGTATGTTGCGGGAACGTTCTTGGCGGCAAGTCCACTGACAGTCTGTTACGAGATCGGTTGCGATATTCTAACAAGGACACCTGCAGAATAAAAGAATAGCTAAGCTCAACTGCATAATGACATTACTGTTTCTATTACTTGTGGATCTAAAAGGCTGTGTGATTTGTAACCCACCTGTAGAATAACGGTAATTTACAGCATATCAAGGAATTATTGATATCTAACTATGGATTGATCTTTCTCAAACTCATTAATTCATCAAGTTTAAACAAAGGAAATCACGACTGTGAAGGTGTTTGGATATCTGATCTTAAGAAGCATAGCTTTATACGATTTTATTTCTCCGTTTTCTCCTTAGTTTTAGTTTCGATTGAGAAGATATATCAAACACTCGAGACAGTGTTTGACCACATTTCCACACTCCTCGAAGTTTATCAAAAATACTGCACTACGAGTCGTATTTTCAACTCTCTTCTCAGTGTCTGGAAATGTGGTCAAACACAGTCGTTAGTGTTTGATATTATTTAAAATAAAAATTGTTCATACCTGCAGTTCTCCTCTGTAACATAACAAACCAGAACGTCGTTTAGCTAAGCCTTCTCACCTTTTTCTTTCCCGGTGTTCCAGACGAGTCATTACTCTGAGAAAACTGCACCACAGACTGCCCAGCGATGGGCGTCACCACAGCTACAGGTGACACAGAACTTGTCACCAAAGGAACACCATAACCAGGGGACAAAACAGGATTTGTGCTAGTAACGGGCGAGTTATTTACAAGTCTTGGATCACTGGGTCTTCTCTGCAAAATTCCAGAGTCACTAGTTGTCACTGTGATAGCACAATTCTGTGAAGTGACTGTTGAATTTTTAGTCTCTATTGAGCTTGATGCAATAGAAGTGTTAACTTTCAAAAGTGTTTGTTCCCTCAAAGAAATTCGTTCATTGTTTGTGATAGGTTCTTCTTTATGAGGTTGTAAGTCGTTCACACTGTCCGCTAATACAATCTGCACTTGCTGTTCCAGTGCAACAGGTGAGCTTACAATAAGTGGTTCCTCGCACAGCGCCTCGCCAGATATAGTTTGTGATGTCAAATTAGCAGATTGCTCTGATTCAGACGCCATCTTTTGGTACCTTCTTAAATGTCGTTTCTTGAGGGGCAATGGATCTGTTGAAACATGACAAAGAACATGGAATTACAATTACAGGTAAAACCAGGTAAAATTAAAAAGCTTCTTTTTCATATTCATAGTTAACTGTACAATGGACAAAGCACACAGCTGCGTGGTCCTGTGAACCATTTCAGAGGAAGACAAAAGGGAACAGAGCACTGGGGAAATTCCACACAGATATACATACCTATAATTTTAGGGAGACCATTTCTCCTCAGCGAAGACGGAATTGTTTTACCATTTACCAGCCCACTCACAGCACTGCCAACATTGAGTTTGAAACCATTTGGAGGCCTTTCATTGACCATGTTCTGACCATAAAGGTATTGAAATAACCACCTCTGCAAGGGAAAGAACAAAGAAATTGTAGCTGGTTGGGAAAAAAAGGTTTTCATCCATCTCTCAAAATACTAATTATCATTACTGATTATCATACAGTACCTTCACTGTTAGTGATGAGAATTCAGTGTCACACCAAAAAAAAAACATTCCTCTTGTGTTGACAAGCTTCTTTACATTACCTTGGTTTACTTAACAACTTTGAAAGGTTGTTAGGATAAGCTAACCATTGATCACTCATACTCCACAAATAGATGTTTGATAATTGAGCTTAACTGAATCTCAAGCTAAAAATAAAATTGAAACTAGTCTTGCTTTCAAGTACCTTCTTTAGTGATCCATACAAAGGGCTGGATCTTGTAACTCGGTGGCCAAACTTCACAGATGCCACAGGACTTCCAGGCGCAGGTCCTGGGCTTGTTCGCTCAGTAGCAGAGCCACTGTAACCACTTGTTACACTCTCTGCACTAGTTGGGGAGCCTATGCGCGGGTGAATACGATAACAAAATGTAAGTAAACCACTATGATGAAGGAACTGGGAGACATGACTTGTAGTCCTGATATCAACCTCAGGTTGCATTCTTGGAGAAGGAAAATCAACTACAGGTGTAGCACAGTAGCTCTCCCCATAATGATAGCAAGGCTTAGAGCTATAGCTTGGAACAATTAGATTGGAGGTCTCTAACATGAATCAATCAGCTATCAAGGGGCATTGATATGGTGGAGGAATTATTTTTGCAAGAACTGGGAAACTTAGCGGTATGTTGTAGACAGGGGTAACATCAATATCGATAGCACCATATAATTTCAGACTTCACTAGAAAATAACTACCTGAAGTTGACGGACATGGACTTGGAGTATTTCTGCCACTGCCGACAGCCACATTTATCTCAACAAGACATTCTGCAAGTGAATTATTCAAGTCCTTGCCTAACACACTACTATCCACTGTACTTGGTGAGCACTCAGTATCAGCAGGAGCAGGCAACACATTTTCTGAAAGAGTATTTGCACTGTCTGGTAGAATATCTTGTTCAGTTGTGCTACTGGCAGTGCTGAGTACAAGCTTTGGTTCACTCTCCTCTCTTGGTGTAATGGGGGAGTTAGGAGTAGAGGCTTCACTGTGATCTGCTAGCTCTGTCTTTACAGACACTGTGGTGTCTTTGGTGGGAGTTTCTTTCACCTCTTCTTCTCCACTCTGAAATAAAAACAAAACACAACATGAGTTTTTGGAAATAAATTTATAACAGTTTTCATTAAAACCTGGATCACTGGATGATGCAATTCAAGAGTGTTCGCTGGCTCAGCTTCTATGTTATATATGACCCATTAAACCATGCGCTGGAAACCTAACATGGTAAGCTCACACATAATTTTTCACTTCATTTTTATTTGCATTTTATTTTAGTTTTCTACATTTTGGGGAAAAACAATTATTCCACTCACACTAGTTGGAAATGAGATGATTATAGCACAATTTTCGATTAAATTGTTACATATCTTTCATCATGACACCCAGCCTATCCCTTCAATAATTACATACCTGCTTAGTATCCTTAGGAAACCTAAAGCTTCTGTTAGGTGAAGTGGATGGAGTCACAGTGCTAGGTTCCTGTTCTGGTAATGACGACGCAGATGTCACCTTTGGCGTCGTGGGAGTAGTGGCATTGCTGCTGTGATCATCTGGAGACAAAGGTTCTGAAGAACAACTTGACAGCCTGGCTCGCTTTCTTTTAAAGCCTGGTGCTCCTGTTCGTCTCTTACTCAAGGCCCTCTTTATCCCCTTAATATTCTTACTGAGCTTGTTAAACGTCACATCTTGGTTGACTGGGCTAATCAGCTCATGTTTGTGTTCTTTCTGGGTTTGCTGTTTCCGTTTTTCTTTCTTTTCCATTTCTTTAATTTGCCTCAGGTATGCCTCCAGCTTTCTTTCCTCTCTGCTCTTCTTGCCTCGCTTCTCAGGGTTGTTTTCTATGTCAGAGTCGCTGTCACCCTACAAAACCATGATACCATAACATTAGCATCATCATCACTTACTCAGGTGGAGGCAGCATGGCAGAGTGGTTAGTATGCTAGACATGAAATCTGGAGGTTGCTGGTTCAAGTCCCACTCTGACAACTTAGCTGAAGTTGTTTCTAGGTAGACCCAAGTTCAACTTGTCAGTCATGCTTGGAAATAGCCAACTGGTCTGCATCCTGCCAGTTGGAATGTTTAAGCCTATTATGTCTGGTTGATATATTTATTTCGTCAGGTTAAGTGTCATGCAGGTGAACTAACTATATGCATGTGTAGCTAAGCACATTGACCACTACAAACAACTACATTTACAACATCACTCTTTTTACCACTGCTCTAACTTATTTTATTCATATCAAACCTTCACATCACAAGATGTTTATTTTTCTCACCTGCAAGCTCTGACTATTACCCAGTGACACTCTGAGGGGGGACATCTTTTGATGTGGGCCGGAGTTGCTATCCTCGTCATGTGCCTTAAATTTTTTTTGTGTGTGGTTATCATGATTTTGATTCTGGAATTTAAGGTTGTACTTCATCACGCCACACATGTCTTGAGCACAAGCACAGTCCAGGTAGCTATTGTACTCTTCAAACTGGAACTCAAATGGGATTGTGATTTCGGCCCCTTTTGGTAAGGGACTTGACGAGAAGATCCCTAAACAGACTCTCCCACTGAGCATGAAGTGCCGGACCTGAAATAGCAAATTCAATCCAATGTTAGACCATAGAGAGAACAATTTTTCTTATGACAAACAGCAGTACTATCCACCTTTAAATGTGTCAAATATTTTTGCTCTACTCCAAGACAAAATAAATCTGAAACTTCAATTGTCCAGATTTGGCTGGTGAAAATAGCACAGGACTGGAATTGTCCTAAGTTGAAACCTGTGAAATGTTACTCACCACTGAGTTGGGAGAGCAGGACCTTCTGGCAAACCTTGCATCATTACCATGAGTTCTTGCATCCACACACAACTGTAAGTGGTCAAGTTTTGAATAATAGAAGACGTATGGACTGCACCTGTACATGAGAAACAAGCATACGGGGTGCTTTACTCAGAGAGACATACAGCTAGATGTACATGTACATGTGGGCAAACTAAGCATCCATGAAGCAGGGCTTTCAAAAAGGGCTGGAAACAGGGAAAATTGACCGGTGGGGAGGACAGTTTTGACCGCCTGGTTTGACCACGGAGAGTGAAGCTTTAAAAGAAGTTCTGTTCAAATAGTTTTGCCTGCCTGTAAAAAACCAGTTGCCTTCCTGCTTAAAACATTAATGAAACCCCTGCAATGAAGTGGTTTGGCGTGTTCCTAATCCCACTGTTGCAGCCCTGTTCACAGTGCCTGCAGATAGCCCAAGCCCTGTTACATGCAGTTTGTCCTACCATTATGCCATAATAGATGACAGTAAACTTCTGGCATATTTCTGCAGCAGCCAGTGCTACATGTGAAAGTGAACTGTCCTGCCCAACAACACATTATGGCACATTACATTACAGCAGTGGCCAAGGCATTCATTTCCTACAGTTACATGTAGGATATGTATGATACATTTATATCTAATTTGAAAAACTAAACCAAACTAAACTTAACTCATTTCAAAAACTAAACCAAGGCACTAATTAAAAGCAGAAAAATTACCTTTTGAAAAATGGATTTTCTGATTCAAACTTGGAGAGGAGCATGAGTTTTCCCTGAAAGAAAGAAGAAAAAACGTTTTTCAAAAGTCACAAAATTGCCCTCAAGTTTCCCCCAGATTCTTAGTTTACGGTTTTGGGGAAATAGCATAATGATTCCAGTATGGCTTCAAAAAGAGAGTTGCAATTGAGATCTACAAGTAAACTACAAAAAAGCACCAAGTCCTGAACCATCCCATACCAAGCAGAAAATATTAACTCTCTTTGTGTACCATCTTCTACTTCCAATTTGAATGTCTTACTTCTTTTTCAGTCCAGATAATTAACTCTGGTTACATTCATGTACGATAACACTAACCTTGCACTGAACAATGAACTTGTCTTTGTCCATGTCTTCTGTGGCAACGATACCCTACAAAAACAACAGAAAGGCGATATGATTTAGATCTGATCAATGTTTCTAGAAGATCAACACCATTTCAAACTCCACCTCAATCACAATGCTTAATATAGGTTTGTTTCAGTAACCAACATGTTCCTATAGCCTTATAAAACTTAGCAGTCCTCTCCATTTTTACTAATTGGACAATAAATAGATCAATTTATTACATATAATAACTATCAAGAATGGATAAGCTAGGAAGTAGCAAACAACATTTACCTTTCTACATTGCTGCACTTCTACAACTTTGCATAGCTGATCATCACTGGCAACAGATGGCAAGAATCCATTTTCCTGAAGAAAAACAAACTCAGTTTAAGATACAGGTACAGACTCACTCAAGGTGAGTGGTTAAAAAAGGACACACTACCCATTTTAAAACACCATGTGCCAGTGTTTACCAAGCACACAGAAAACATGGTCAAGTATCCTACATGTTAAGAAGGTTTTACAGTATGTCAATTGTTTCCAAGTGATCAAGCTTCCTACAGGCTTTCCAAATTTTGGACATGTAAACAGTAATAGCCATTTTCACAGTTAACTTTTCTCATTTAAACATGCATCAGGGCTCCAAAAAGGTGCCATCCCATTGTGAGGGACAAGCTGGGCAAGTAACTTTTCATTCTCAGTTGCCCAATGGGCAAGGAATCAGGTAAGTCATCTGCCAACTAAATCATTAAAAGAGCAAACTAAGACTTGCCCATAGCAACCAGAATTTAAGAGCAACTTGTCCCAGGGGCAGCTGGAATTCACGTTTTTTGTTAGCCCTGCTGAAGGCATGGCAAATGTGGGCAGAAACTACAACACTGCCTGAAATTGTCTCACATACATGTTGGATTACCTTCTAATGCAAATGAGAAAAGTTATCCGTGAAAAGAGCTATTGCCTCTAGGAAAAACTTTCAGAAATTGTCAATGAAAATGAATAGTGTTGTTATTAGTTCATATAGTGTGATCATCCAGGTGAGTGTAGTTCTGAAAAGAACTGCTGTTGGTTGTCACCAACAACAGTTCTTTTCAGAACTACACTCACGCGGACGATCACACTATACGAAGTATTGATACTCCTGGGTTCAAACCATTTACTATGCAGTGTTGTTATTGTAACAAACAAACACACCTGTATTGAGTTTAGAGCTAGTTGTTCCAGCTCCTTGCTGTAAATATTTTCTTTCAACTCCTCGTAATTATCAAAAGAATTGCATGTGTTGTCCCATGCCTCGTTAGTTTCCTCATCAACTGAAGAAAAAAATGAAACTTCAGACAAGTGTGGGAATTGTGTCATGTTCAACACTAATTAAGAAAAATTTTTGAAAGCATATAAAAAGCCAGTCAACACTTATCAAAATATTAATTGTACAGTGGACGCTCTGTTTGGTCAATCAAATCTATCAAACTATATTTTATATTGTGCCAGACATACAGCAAGCCTGTGGTCTAAGAAACATTTCAAAGAACCAAAGGTTCCTAACCACAAAAATATTAAGCTTGTATGAAAAAAGTAATTTTTATCGAGTCACCCAAAGGCAAAAGTCAGACGACTGTTGAACCTGGGTGCTTTTAGAGCACAGCCCTGTATACACACATACATGTAGGAACCACACAATATACATGTCATGGTAACAGAAGACTATGAAAAAAAGCTTTTTGAAAGCCTAGAGGAAGAGATCAACTCACCAGGAACAAATCCAGGGGCAGGCTTTTGCTTCTGTCTCTGTATCACAACCAGATCAAGGGTACATCAGTAAACTAACAACAATTTTTATCCTTCATTAACCCAAATAACTTTTTTCTTTCAAATTCTGAAAGCATCTGGGAGTGTCTTTACTTTGTAACAACTCCAGCAATTGGCACACAGGCAGAATTTCAAAAATATAATTTTTCCAACAACTATGATTGTATCTATCCATTGTCCAGACTTTTGTGAAGAATAAAGAAAATTACATTTGTCAACTACACACCCAACAAGAATGACTAAATTTTCAGAACTTACACTAAAAGAAATGCTTCACTACAGAAAATCAAGAACCTGGGACAGAAGGAAAATAATTTTGCACCTACCCGCCTTCTCTTGGGTTTCTTCTCCTTATCGTGATTTTCACTAGCCTGTTATGCAAAACAATTCAGTAAGAAAATCACAAAATTAACAGTTAAAAAAAAGAGATTCCCTATGGTTAATGAAGATGCCAACAAAATAAAAGATTTTACTTACATGAAGAATATCTTTATCTTTAACCTTGATCTTGTTAGGGCCCCGTTTTCGCTTTTGGCTAACTTTAGCTGTTAGCGTGATCCTTGTTGGTGTATTAGAAATGGCAGTGTAAGATGGCGTGTCCCTGTCTTCTTCACTATCATCATCGTCATCATCATCTTACAGAGGCAAAGATATTTATGTTAGAATTGTCAACAACTTTATCAAAAGGTGACTAGAAATGGAAAGACATCTAATTGAGCTTAAATATTAGCCAAAATGTTATCACAAAAAATTGGTCAGTAAAAAACTAGGCAAGAAATTAAAATATTGTTAAAGGACAAGAGGCAGTTGTCAGGGCTGTGCTCTAGAAGCGCCTGGGTGCCACAGGTGACTGACTTTTTACCTTTGGGCAACTGAAAAAACTCACTTTTTTCATATTAGCTCAGGTTTTTATGGTTTGGAACCTTTGGGCTCCTTGTAATTTTGTCTTAGAACACAGCCTTGCTTACCCAATGAGTGTAGTGCTACATGTTAGCTAAAAGAATCAAAACATCTCTGAAATCATTCTATTAGTGGCTGCAAGGAAGCGTTACATGTATGTTTAAAGGCAAGGAAAAACCTGGAGAAACCATCAAGGAGTGCTCAAGGATGAGGACAATTCAAGGACCTACCACTTTGCTCCTCTCTTTTCCGCTCTTGAATTGCCCTGGCCCTTTCTCTGTCCAATGTTCTGGGAAGGCAGAAACATGTACACAAGAGGTCCACAATTAAAAGTATATTACATGCAGATGGGAATTGAAAAGAAAGAGTGACAATGTCCTTAAGACATAGATCTCACTTTGTTATTGAAATGAATATACTTTATGCCAAATGCTTGTGAGAGTCCTTGATATATTTTTAAGCCAGTGTCAGTGCAATACACTGTCTTGAAAGCAGACAGGTGCAATGAATACAAAGGGAGTCTAATCAACCAAGGATATTGTCTAAATGCAGAATGGATCTACATGTATGGTATTGTACATATTGATATTCAACAAGGACAATTTATAATTTTGAGATAAGCATTAACCAATTCCCTAGCATTTTACATAAGAAAAACTCTACACGTCTAGATGACACTTCAAGCAGTCTTTTCCATTAACTAATTAATTACTCCATGCCATTAATTTTTGTCCAAGGCTGTACCAGAATACTTTAAACACTAATGATTATGTATGTCACACAGAAAAAAAATTGTATACAGCTAATAGCCTTTTAGATTTTCAAGTATAGTTGCACGCAATAACTTGGTTACTCATATTGAAAATGTTTCTTACCTCGGTTGACACTGATCACAAAGGTAGTTTTCAGGCACGGCATCAGAGCTGATTCCCATACACTCTATGTGCTGCCACACACTACAAGAAAAAATAAATTACAAAAAAAAAGAAAAGATAAATTTAAGCATCCTTCCATACAGCATCATTCCTACAGTTTTTGGAAAATTTTCATACTATGCACTTGAAAATTTGGAAATATGAGTTACACATACATGAACTAAAGTAACATTGACAAACCAGCCAGCACAATTCTCATGAACTCTACAATAGCCCAATTTCGAAATATTAAAATTCAGCCTAAAACAATGGACCTCAGTACAAGGCTACGGGAAATAACTACAGAGTTTGTGGAGTTTATTTTGGAGCCTTGTGCTGAGGTCTATTGTGTTAGGCAGAATTTTAATATATCGAAATTGCTCTATTACATGTAAGCAACACAGGAAAACAAACCTGCACTTGTCGCAACAAATCATGTAGCCATCATCATGATCAAACTCACTAGAAGGAGAGAGAATGATCATGAACCATTAAAATGCATTTATTAATATTTCAAGTGTCGAGTGTTAGCATATTCCCAATGATGTCTTACTTTCTAAGAAATGGTAATACTAAATGGAATTTTTTCTTTATCCATTCTCCAAGATTAATTTTCCAGTCTGTACAATTGACCATACTTGAACAATGATTGAGCTACAATAAAGATCACAGATACAGCTAAGACCTGGTTACAAGCTAATTTCACCAGCTGAAAGAGAGCTTATCACTGGCTGAAACTTCACTAGAGAACAAAGACGAAGCTCAACAAGCCAGAAAAGCAGCCCAAACTTTTACAAATGTGTCTGCCAACTGTCTTTTCAGCTACATCCCTGACAAAGATGTTGCAGAGAAATATCTACTTGCCAAGAAGATGAAGGATGCAAACACAGTTGATAACTGCACGTTTAGGTCACTTAATATTCCTAGTTGAAAGTAATAAGCTTTCTTACCAAATACACCTCGTAACACCATCATCTTCATCATCCTCATTCCCTGTATCAACATCTTCAGGCCCTGGACTGTTAGAATCAGGAGGCGTCATGGGAGGAGGCTGTCCATAGTTATGATCCTGAAATAATCAAAGCATGTTAGTATAAGCAACCAAATGGCGACAAGTGAAATTACAAAAAAATTGGCATTAGATTGACTTTTCAAAGCTCACAAAACAACCGCCTAAAAGAAAACAATGACCTACTTTACTAAGAGCTACGATGCATTTAAAAATACAAATTTAATGGTTATTTATACGTAAGGTAAGAACAAAAATAATGTATATAATTTATTAGTAGGTAATACCATTGACTTAAAAGTTATATAGCTCCCAGTGGAGTGGCTAACAGAAGATGTACCACAGTTTACATGAGCATGTTGAGGTTCAATTTTACCTTGGGTGTGGTACAATCTGGTATTTTGTACCAAGGAAAAATTAAACCACAACATGTACATACATGAACACACATTGGCACAAGTAGAAGTAAATGTACATTTTTGGGCTTCCACTGAGAACAGTTTGGTGGAACTTTTAAACAATTGTCTTAATACCAAGCCATAATACCAGCTGGCATCCTTAAGGGTCCACCATAGTTCTAACTAAGTAGCTTGTATACCCACAAGGCCACTTAGTCCTTGTTGAATAACACAGCAAGGCAACTAAGGTAAGTCTGCATACCGGCCAAGTGGCCCCTTATCCCAGTTTCTGTAGCATGAAGTGACTAGGAGCATTTCTACTCCCCCCTGGATGGGATGCAAGCCCCTCACAGGGCTACCCCCAGCATTAAAATGGAGTTTCATTTGTAAACTTCATCCTTGAATGATTTAGCTTAGCTTACCAAGATATGGGGTATGTGGCGAATGGAGGCAATACTTGGCATTTTTGGTGCTGTGCTAGACTCAGCAGGCTGAGGGCTGAAAATAAATGAGAACAATTTATTAGCACTTTAATTGTGTCTGTCCATAACTAATTACAAAGCCATTTCAATCACCGAGCCACTTCTGAAGTGAAAAGAAATACAGCAGCTGGGACAAAGAGCATTAATCCTTGCTTGATTATAAAGTACATTTGTAAACACGAGACTGCTAAAATGATAACTTTTTCACTTTGCATATTACCAGTATTATTTATTTATTAGCACAAGTCTCAAAAGGAATATGTGGTCATCCAAAACCATAAATTCTGTTTCAGTTGAGAGAAGATGACATGAGAGGTCAAACATGAAAATGATATTTTATAGAAGTTTGCGTGGTCTTAGTACAAAACAACAGAGGGTACAAAGACCAAATGACAATGTATTGTTTTACATTCCACAATTTCAGCTGGAGAATATCTAGTTGCTGAATTTGATACAACTGGTTGTAATAAAACCCAATCCCTGGAGCATTTGGAATGTTTAGGATTGAACAATAAAGAGCATTATTTTAGCCCTGAAAAACTATATCCTGTTTTCCTCGCTATAAACTTAGGCAGTAGACAATTCTATTTACAATTATGGGGCAAACATTGAAATAAAAACTTCATCATTGCATAACTGGATTAGAGGTTTACTGTCCATTTCAAAACAAAAGCAGTTTAGGTTCCAATAACACAATGAGCAGTCTTCTTTAGATTCCTCACTCTTTCAATGTCAAATCAGAAAAGAAAAATAATCACAGAGGGTATTGCTACTTTACTTGTTCCATGATGTTTATATTAACAATAATAATGCTTTCTATCAAAATACCCATGTTACTTAGCAACAAATACAATAGATAGCAACAGAACACTACCTTAATAAAGCTGTAATGTTACACTTTGGTTAAAGTCAACGCCAAAATGAAAGGTGTAAACAACAGGTATAAATCAAGGGAATCAGACACAACTCCAAAAGAACCAGACGAAAATCCAAGCACAGAAAGAAACGATAACAAAAAATAAGTTGGCAGTCTCCAATGGGCTGTTATCTCATAATAACTTGAATAGTACATCAATCCCCCTGAGAGCCAGGGAGCAATAAGCTACCATATTTTTACTAACAACTAAATGTCTGTTGGTGTTAATAAAACTGCTCTCTGACTTGGTAAATCTTATTATCATTTTTAATGTCCTTTTAATGCCGAGAACCTTCTATCCTTATATTCATGATTCATGCCCAAGTTTCAGTGACTTTAACAGTGGTCACTGCAGGTTGGTACTCTATAATGGAACTCCTAAGAAGCTGAACACTGTGTTTGAAGATACATTGTGCACATTTGAGAAAATTTCTGTTACTGAAATAATGTTAGGGATAACTGAAAAACTCCATGTTGAAACAGTAGCAGTATTAACATCCTGTCTGTGAGGAGAATTAATATTCCCAAGTCTTAAGCACCATAGAAACCAGGGTTACTATCTTCTATGTACATGTATGTTGTGCTTTAATTGTACCCTTTGTACCATTTGGTATTCTCCTTTGTTCTGGTGTATGGTAATAATACATGATAATAAAATAAAACAAAGGAAAAAACCAGATTGTACCAAGGTTAAAATTGAACCACAACATGTACATTCTTTCTGTGCCTGTGTCACCATTTGCAAACAGAATCACCTTTCCTCATTACATACATTAACTAATTAATACGATAATTTTGTCATGCTTTACTCGTGAAATTACCTAAACATTATTTGATCATTTACATGTGTGTTTGTAAGGAAAAGAAATATAATGGATATAATGGATAAGAAAGTATGTTAGCCCCTATTAGCACTCAGTGCAATGTATCAAAATTATCAGCAATTAATACAGCTGTACAGGTACATCTACACTATTAACCAATAAATATGACATGGCAGCATTCACTATTCAAGCAAGTGTTCTATTAGTTGGCAAAACTATATTACTGATCTGACAACGTCAATTACCTAAAACTTTGGCATGAGTTAATTTTCACAACATAAATCCAACAGTTTCCATTAAAAACAAACATACAAACAACTTCACTTCAGACCCAACAACATTGTAATTCTCCCTACTGATTCTTAGAGTTTTGAGAATTTTGTAGCAAATCACAAATGAATCCCATGTGTGATTACTTTCTTTCCTCTAATCACATGGCCGTCAGCAGTGCTGTGATACTATAGAACAAGAAAAATTAAATTACTCACTCAGATCCAGCAGTCATGGGCTTTGAAAGGCCTGAGGGTGCTGTTTCTAACAGGAGGTTGACACTCATTACTTTTTATCTGCATGATTCATCAGGGGATGGAAGCTTAACTGCCATTAAATACGAAGCCATGGTCCACTATTGTGCTCGACAAAGCAACCAAACCTTTGAAACAAATTTGACAAGTCAGCTCTGGGTGAGCATTGACACTTATGTAAACATTAACAGACATCTGGCAAAGGAAAACTCTGCTCTTTACTGACAGCCCTCCATGTGAATAGAACACTTCTATGTTAGAATAATAGGGTATTATAATGGTGATGTTCTAAGATATTTCATTGAAAAGCTGCTCGTCAAATCATTCTCTCTCAACACTAATGCATAGCCTTAAATGTCTTGATGACAATGTTCTAAATCAAGGCTATCATTACTATATTGAAAGAGACTGCAGGCCAAGTGTTTTATCAAGGTTTCCTGCCCCATAATGAGTTACATACTGATCTTGACAAAAGTACAATAGAAACTTTGGTGTGATAGAGACAGAATAAAAAGAACACATCCAACGCAAGATTGCTACTGATAAGCCCTTACAAAAATATATTGATGTCCACATGGTCTCCGAGCTAAACAACCAGAAATACAAATTGCTACAGAAATCAAACTTTGTAGCTTTCTATTCAAATATTCCCATGCACATATCCATGCGTAGCAGGCAAAAAGATAGGAAACATATATTAGACTACAACAGCCTTCATGCAAAATGCATCAAATCTCCAAGGGGAATGAATGAATGAATCTTGCATCATAAATATAACATGAAGCAACATTTGTGCTAATGAACGCAATGTAAATTCATGGATTGCAGGAGACGACATCAGCTTAATGAGCGCACAAGAAAACTACAGGAGCAAGAGATGTTACAGTTCTAAATCTAGAAATTAAGAAAGGTGTTCTTTTACATAAAATGGGCCTTAGGTGATATGGATATGGGCCTATGGGAAGATCTATTTGCATTTTGGTTGACACAAAGTTGTCATCAGTATTACGATGAAATATTCTTGCTATTTAAACATCAAATGTCCAATAAATATAGTTGGATTCTAATGACTGCAAGAGCCATCTTCAAATGCTGCCAGATCATGTTGAACGGTGATTCAAATTCGAACAAGCTCTACTACTTCTGAAAATTAGCAGATGTCGTGGTTGCCTGTGCAAGCTGTTATCATGGCAAGATGGCAAGTTTTTTTGCATTTCCCTTTGACCTGAACGCATTAAAAACAGGACAAGAAAAAAAAATATGCTTCATCATTCAACAGATCCAGTAAAGAAACACTTTATTTCTCAAAAAAACCTCAAGGTTAAAACAAACTGTAATCTATTTCTGTCGTATACGAATGTGTAGGAATATAACGCAATCGAACCATGATGTGTTGTTATTAAATGGAAACAGCCTTTAAAAGGAGCGTTGGCGAATTAGATATTCAAAATATATGAAGGAGAAGCTTACATCTGATACTAGATTGTTTCGATAAAAGTAATCCAAGCGAAACAGTTCAACTCAACAAGTCGACTTTTGAAACCTTCACGAGGAGCGAAGGTTGCAAGGCGAAATTATCGACCACAGTGAATACTCTTGATCTAAAAAGCGACCCAACTAGAAAGCGGCGTTTTCTATCAAATAAAGCAAGAAAGGATAAGTTTTCGCTTTCTGAACACGCATTCGAATACAAAGCACCTAACCACGTCATGAAAAATACATGCAAATCGCGACAAAAATTGAAGCGGAACGCAAATGGAGTCGAAGAGTTTTCCAAAATAGGTGAAACTAATATGGTACATAAAACACATAAACATCAGCAAGAACAGTCTCTAAGCGAAGAATTAGTCGAGGTGTCGGCAAAATAAGGCCTGTAAAGCGACAGACATGCATTAATCATAACAGCCATAGTAGAAAGCGATGAAGCAAGCAGATGGTAGTCGTTCAAACAAACACGTTTCTTCAGACGCGGTTCACTTCGTCGCGACCACAATTTTCATGGCAGAGGACAGCGAAAACACGCCGGGCTTTCTTGGCAAAAAAGTAGGGTAGAAAATTCAATTATTAAGACAGAAAAAGACGACATTATAATAAACTTCGCAATCGGAAGAAAGGGTTCCACGAAATGAATTGAGATACGATAAATATTTGAACACTAGAAAAGGCTACGAACTAGCGAGACACACCTTTCCAATGCAAGCATTGTAAGCGCCTAAATAGCGTTTTTTTTCCTTCATCTGAGCAAAAAATAGCATTTCCAGAAAGAGTAAATCTTTCCTTGACGTGATGAGAATGCCCTCTGCTCGAAAATGTGAGGTTCTACTTAGCCAGCGACCGCCATCATAAGTGGATTTCATAATTCGACAAGACAAGTTCCGAATCCAAGTGTTTTCCGTCAAGAAAACACATCGAAACCAGCAAGATAAATCTGGAGGGGTATTTCTAGTCATTTGGGCGTCTAGCATGTTTTAAATCGCTAGCAGAGAAGCTATCACTCAAGGAAATTCTATTTCGGTCGTCGCATAAAAAACAAGTCGATAAAACAAAATGGCGGACGCGAGCACATGTTTAAGAGGTTTAAAACGAAACTTTCTCTTATTAAAAGAGGTGCACATGGTTTCGATAACAAGAAATAGCAAAAATATCGTTCTAGTTTTGTGGATGAGCCAGTAAAAGTACTTAGGAAACAGAATTTACCGCTTGTTGAGAGCAATCGCGAGATTTATCAACATGATTCGAGTGAATCGTCTGTAATTCTACAACATCAGGGAGACAACAAATGGATGACAATGGATCAAAATTACATCGTTTTGATGGTTTAGAAGCAATGTTTGTCGACTTGCCATCGCTTTCTGCTTATTCTACGAAGCTAAGTTCGTCTTACTAAGGTCAAATTACTGAATCACTTGATATACAAAATCTTCAGCGCTGAATCGCTTTGCTTTCACTCTATGGGGGTAAATGATAGATAAAAACATCCTAGCTCTAGAGAAGCGTTGAGACGTTCAAGTACGATCAAAAATTTGGCAAGACAAGCTAGTATGGTCATCACAATTCGCTCCTCTACGCTCGAGAAAAACATCCCAAGTAGGCGTATTGATTTGAATTCTAACCTTCGCTCTGAAGGGAGCCATAATGAACTTACAAATCGACCATATCTAGTTTCGCTTCTACAATTGAAACAGCGCAAAAGGAACCGGTTGGCATGATTAAACCTAACAATACCAACGTATGAAGCTAGAAACACAGAGAAACACACACACAACAACATGAAGTAGGAGCTGGCTGTACATAAACTTGAGCTTATAACATACAAACATATCAAATTATAAACCAGAAATAGGTGGTAGTTATCGTCGCAAAAATACTTCCTAGTTACACTTTATGGATCCACCATGTACCGATGAAACGCTAGGGTACATGGAGGACTGAAATATGACGCATTCGACCTACCTAACAGCGTCCGTTGAGGGTTGGTCAAGCACCACAGTCATCTAACTCGTGCCACTTTCACTGATGTAAAGTAACTTCAAATTTCCAAAACCAAAATTTCACTGACGCTCACTCCAACACACTGAAGACACCCTAAACTTGCAAGAGGGCGTCTGCTCTTTCAAAATGTCCTGATATAACACCGTTTGGTAAAGTATTTTTACAAAAAATACAACTCACTCAACGCCATTTGCAGTTGCTCTTGCTGCTTACGAAAGAAGACAAATTTCTTGTTGTTGCGCATGCGTTTTCACCTGTTGTCACGTGACGCTTTTACTAACGTCACACAGGAAACAACAGAGCGTGGCACGAGGGCGAAGGTGGTGTGATTCTTTTCCGTTTTTAAAACACTGGACTGAAAATCAGGAAGTGTAATGTCAAACAACGTTCGAGGAAATATCACAGACGGTTTTTGAAATAGATAAATGCGTTTAAACTTCAATTGCGAGTTGCTTTGGGCAGTGAACGGCCAAACGTCATTTGTCTTCGAATCTTCAATCAAGTGGAACCCTAGTTACGACATTGTTAATATTTGGATGAATGGAAGTTTTTTAATCGAAAATGTAAAACTGGATTTACACAAAACAATGGATTCCAACTTCACGTATGCAAATTTGGCGCTGGGCAAACAATGTCCTATAAAAATCAATCGACATAATTGTTTTCAAGCTTAATTCTCTTCGTTTCTAAAGTCAATAATTTACAGCACACCAAACTGAACAAGAACAAAAGAATCCTGATCGGTAATCTCTTTGGCTGTCGCTTGTGAAAATGTCGAAGGACATTAAAAATTGAGATTCTGCATTCATCCGAGATTGCTGGTTCTCTTCGACCGTCGTCTGGAATAGTGGTGTTTTAGTGAAAGATCACGACTTTTTCGCATGGGCAAGATCGTATTTCGCGACATCCGGTCTTTAAAGCGACTGACGCCGTGTTTCTTGCAACGTGGCTATTTAATCAACGAATAGAAGAACATGTTGTCTATAAATCGACGCCGAAGCTTTGTGTTCCGATGTTTCGTTTATTTTGGTACTTGTTTTATTTGTACACCAGTACAATTTTGTCTCCCTATGGTCGGTCTCGCCAAGACCTGAAGGTGTCGTTCTTCTCACCTGATGCTCCACAGGAGTTTATAACGACGAAGGTTACAAGATTTCCGCCTTGTTGTGGGGGGTCATAATAGTGGCGTTCTGATAAAATGAAAGCGTTGATCTTGTAAAGAACACGGATCAAAAAGACAGATCGGTCAAACGCCATATTAACGACGTTAAACAGAATCGAAAATTGAACGATCGATCTTGATTCAGCAGCTGGCTTTTACTGCGAGGAAATGGGAAAAAATGGCGCGACGTGCTAAATGGCGTGTTCTCAGAAATCTAGCTCATAAACAGGCTGTATAGCATGGAAAACGTAACAGAAGAGCTTTTCCTTTAAATATTCGTTACCGGATTCAAGTGTAACTGAAGAAGCCGTTCATAGGTTGGGAAAACCACGTTAATTTTCCGCTTTTCTTGGTGCTTCTTTGTTCAATTGAAAATCATCTGTCTGCCATGTATTGGTTTCTGTGGCTATTGGGTGTGTTTCTTCAGTCGCGTACAAACATCATCCCTCGTTTTCTGGTTAGTGTTGATACTTTTAATCCGAACAACTCTGCTGTTCGGTTCAAAAAAAATCTTTTTTGGATTAAGCCAAAAAATCTGATCACATAAGCTTCAATGGCTTAACCTCTGACTAACCCTATTAATATACTCTAATCATACGACAAGGCAATTCTATACTTATGCTTGAGAACTAGAAATGAAAATTATAGAAAAATTCTTGTTGACATGTGGCATAAATAGACAAGCTGTATTCAGTAAGAAATTTGAATATCGTGCAAAGCGTAACTTGACCGCGAATGGAAACAGAGAAACATGCTGGAAAACGATATGGTTTATCGTAATCATTATCGAAACAGCATGAGAAAGCTCTTAAATCGAAATAGTACGATTTGAGAACTTCCATTCTCTTTGACGAAGGCGTTTTTAATAGTTATGCAAATTTAGCTGGTGCAACAACGATTACAATTTGCAACCTGCTGGAAACTGCAAATAGAAAGTATAATTGTTCTAAACGAACACGAGAAAATCATTGATGAAAACACTTTGAATAAAGTACATTCGTCGGATTTATGAATTGTAAGAATTGATGGCACGCCTCATTTGTGCACAAATCGCTTTCCCCAACTAGTTGAAAGGGTTTTCATCATAGAAGACATCAATATAGCGCCGTTAGTTATCGATCTTCACCTGCTCGTGAAATACGTGACTTAGCGACCACTAAGTAAACAAATAAAATTATTGGCATTAGTCAGCGATTTTAAATAGCCTAAGAGCTTGAATCGTGCCCAGAACCTCGCGGAAAGAAAAATGGAAGCGAGGCCGAACCTTCTAAACCGCTGGTAAAGAGAAACGAAGGCTCTAAAACACAGAACCGTTTAAAGCTTGGGGCACTTTCCCTAGGATAAGCCCTTCAGTCATTTACTGTATCGGCTATTTCAAACTCCCGCCATTTCGAACTACAGTTACACCCAACTAATAATACAAACTCGGTTATTTCGAATTCCCCGCTATTTCGAGTTCAAAACCATTTCCCTGGGATTTCCCTCTCACTCATTTACTATCGGCCGTTTCGAACTCCCGCTATTTTGCACTATTTTTTATTTCCCCTGAGTAATTCGAAATAGCGGGNCGTCAAATCATTCTCTCTCAACACTAATGCATAGCCTTAAATGTCTTGATGACAATGTTCTAAATCAAGGCTATCATTACTATATTGAAAGAGACTGCAGGCCAAGTGTTTTATCAAGGTTTCCTGCCCCATAATGAGTTACATACTGATCTTGACAAAAGTACAATAGAAACTTTGGTGTGATAGAGACAGAATAAAAAGAACACATCCAACGCAAGATTGCTACTGATAAGCCCTTACAAAAATATATTGATGTCCACATGGTCTCCGAGCTAAACAACCAGAAATACAAATTGCTACAGAAATCAAACTTTGTAGCTTTCTATTCAAATATTCCCATGCACATATCCATGCGTAGCAGGCAAAAAGATAGGAAACATATATTAGACTACAACAGCCTTCATGCAAAATGCATCAAATCTCCAAGGGGAATGAATGAATGAATCTTGCATCATAAATATAACATGAAGCAACATTTGTGCTAATGAACGCAATGTAAATTCATGGATTGCAGGAGACGACATCAGCTTAATGAGCGCACAAGAAAACTACAGGAGCAAGAGATGTTACAGTTCTAAATCTAGAAATTAAGAAAGGTGTTCTTTTACATAAAATGGGCCTTAGGTGATATGGATATGGGCCTATGGGAAGATCTATTTGCATTTTGGTTGACACAAAGTTGTCATCAGTATTACGATGAAATATTCTTGCTATTTAAACATCAAATGTCCAATAAATATAGTTGGATTCTAATGACTGCAAGAGCCATCTTCAAATGCTGCCAGATCATGTTGAACGGTGATTCAAATTCGAACAAGCTCTACTACTTCTGAAAATTAGCAGATGTCGTGGTTGCCTGTGCAAGCTGTTATCATGGCAAGATGGCAAGTTTTTTTGCATTTCCCTTTGACCTGAACGCATTAAAAACAGGACAAGAAAAAAAAATATGCTTCATCATTCAACAGATCCAGTAAAGAAACACTTTATTTCTCAAAAAAACCTCAAGGTTAAAACAAACTGTAATCTATTTCTGTCGTATACGAATGTGTAGGAATATAACGCAATCGAACCATGATGTGTTGTTATTAAATGGAAACAGCCTTTAAAAGGAGCGTTGGCGAATTAGATATTCAAAATATATGAAGGAGAAGCTTACATCTGATACTAGATTGTTTCGATAAAAGTAATCCAAGCGAAACAGTTCAACTCAACAAGTCGACTTTTGAAACCTTCACGAGGAGCGAAGGTTGCAAGGCGAAATTATCGACCACAGTGAATACTCTTGATCTAAAAAGCGACCCAACTAGAAAGCGGCGTTTTCTATCAAATAAAGCAAGAAAGGATAAGTTTTCGCTTTCTGAACACGCATTCGAATACAAAGCACCTAACCACGTCATGAAAAATACATGCAAATCGCGACAAAAATTGAAGCGGAACGCAAATGGAGTCGAAGAGTTTTCCAAAATAGGTGAAACTAATATGGTACATAAAACACATAAACATCAGCAAGAACAGTCTCTAAGCGAAGAATTAGTCGAGGTGTCGGCAAAATAAGGCCTGTAAAGCGACAGACATGCATTAATCATAACAGCCATAGTAGAAAGCGATGAAGCAAGCAGATGGTAGTCGTTCAAACAAACACGTTTCTTCAGACGCGGTTCACTTCGTCGCGACCACAATTTTCATGGCAGAGGACAGCGAAAACACGCCGGGCTTTCTTGGCAAAAAAGTAGGGTAGAAAATTCAATTATTAAGACAGAAAAAGACGACATTATAATAAACTTCGCAATCGGAAGAAAGGGTTCCACGAAATGAATTGAGATACGATAAATATTTGAACACTAGAAAAGGCTACGAACTAGCGAGACACACCTTTCCAATGCAAGCATTGTAAGCGCCTAAATAGCGTTTTTTTTCCTTCATCTGAGCAAAAAATAGCATTTCCAGAAAGAGTAAATCTTTCCTTGACGTGATGAGAATGCCCTCTGCTCGAAAATGTGAGGTTCTACTTAGCCAGCGACCGCCATCATAAGTGGATTTCATAATTCGACAAGACAAGTTCCGAATCCAAGTGTTTTCCGTCAAGAAAACACATCGAAACCAGCAAGATAAATCTGGAGGGGTATTTCTAGTCATTTGGGCGTCTAGCATGTTTTAAATCGCTAGCAGAGAAGCTATCACTCAAGGAAATTCTATTTCGGTCGTCGCATAAAAAACAAGTCGATAAAACAAAATGGCGGACGCGAGCACATGTTTAAGAGGTTTAAAACGAAACTTTCTCTTATTAAAAGAGGTGCACATGGTTTCGATAACAAGAAATAGCAAAAATATCGTTCTAGTTTTGTGGATGAGCCAGTAAAAGTACTTAGGAAACAGAATTTACCGCTTGTTGAGAGCAATCGCGAGATTTATCAACATGATTCGAGTGAATCGTCTGTAATTCTACAACATCAGGGAGACAACAAATGGATGACAATGGATCAAAATTACATCGTTTTGA